GTTAATTAGACGATTATAATTTACAAACGTGAATACTTAGTAAGTCGGCACCAAATAAAATAATTAATTGCGCATAAATTATGCCAAAATCAAAAATTTGGTAAAATGGAATATATAATACAGCTCAACCAACAGGCACATTTTCTTACACTGTCTCTTAGCTAATGATCTTAGTTTTACTTTGTTTAATATATTTAAAAACAGTGACAGTTGATACAGCTCTGATAGACCAGCAATAAACCACACCCGTTTACTTTCAACAAATTAAGTTTGCAGCAGTATTAGGGTGCACAAAGAATAAACTGTGTACATGAAGTGGAACGAGCGAAGAAAGGATATGAGTTATGACATGTAGGAATTATAAATAAAATAGGGGACTTTATGACTAATCACAATGAACATAAAAGTAATCTAAATTGAATTTTGGGGATCACTGCCTACTACCATCATAGTACAGTATATCAAATTGCATACGTTTACATCAATCCTTACACCCATCACTTCGATAAATAAATATTACAAAGAGCACATAACAGTCATACAACTACAACATTACAAATTACAAATACAAATGAAGAGGATATCACTAGAAGATGGTTGTTACTAAAAGAGAGAAATTAGCTCAATTCCTTTCTTATTCAATGTCTTCAACTTCATTTATCCGTCACTAATGACATCCCTCTAAATTCTTAGCAATCTCAGGCTGCTCATTTATGGTAAAATAAAAAAATAATGTAAACGGAAGGGAAGCATCACTCTTTCCATTTGAAACAATAATTGTCAAGCTTCTTTTCCTAACGGCGTTTAAGAATGTAACGCATAGTTATTTGCTCAACAAACGATACTTTGTTACCTTCGTAAGACGTCTCTATAGCATGCCTCATTTTCAGCAAACTTAGAGAGCTTAAGGTAATAAAATCTTTTTCAAACTGAAGTTAATTGCAAAAAATCTAAACAAGACCTTCCTTAAATGACATTTTTCACTACAACAAACTCTTCATGCTTTCATTTCTGAAAGAATATCTCTTAATCGCTTACATATAAAGTTATATGTGAAGCAAAGATTTCATGTGTAGAAAAAAGTATCAGTTTTACTGGAGTGCGATAAATTAGACGAGGATAAAAATTTGAAAGTTCAGATAAATACAGAAAAACTGAAATAAAATAGTATACACCATAAAGTTATAGCTAGCAATGGCAATTTGAAAAAAATATGAAGTGAA